ATCAAAGAGAAACTTGATAGCGGGTTGATTACCACTCCATACATTCCCACTGGGCGTCAATTAGCTGATCTATTGACAAAGAAGCTTCTTTCAGATAGATTTCAAGAACTTGCTAGCAAGCTGAGAATGATAAATATCTATTCCTCAGCTTGAGGGGGAGTGTTGTAAATAGTAATTATGTAGTCATTTATTTGTATTTATTTAGTCCGTTACTTGTATATTGGGCCAAGCCCATTAGGTCAAAATTAGGTCAAGAAGTCTCTATAAATAGAGACCCCTATGTACAGATTCAAATACAAATCAACAATATTTCATAACCCTTTTTCAATTGTTTATGATTTTATAACTTTTGTTTTTCTCAGGTACGAGGCATACTTTCTTAATGGAATTTATATTTTCAATGCCTTTCAGATGATTTGCATGTTCTGGAATTATAGGACTGCTAAGGAAACTGATACTCATACTTGGTTTGATCAAACTTAATTCCATTCATTATTCATATGCCATAGTATTTTCACTTTTAATGTGAGTATGCGACCTAATATTTTAACAGAAATGCAGTTCTCCTGCTGCAGGAATCGTGAATAGTATTCCTGCAGGTGGGGTTAACATATATTGTGTTTGCAGTAAACTAGTCTTATCAGCAGTAACATAAAGAAAATTAATCTCCATATTTTAAACACATAATTGGTGTGTGTTAGACTTGTTAGATTCAGTTCTGGTGCAGCGAGGGAGGGGTTAGGGAGTTTACATAAGCCTCTAATCGGGAGCATCATTTGTGTTGTTTTTGGTCATATTAACAGTGATTGCCCCGTTCAAATTCTTAGAAGTCTTTAGTTATGAATATATTTTTGTTCTTTCGATTACATATATAGTTATTGTTTATAAGGAATATTACAGTTACAATTTCGCCCCGTGCATTAAATTTCCTGATTGTGCCGTTAATTGGAACTAGTACTGTTATTAAGGATTGAAGAATTTTAGTGGTGGAGCTTGGTTTCAATTCTTGCTGCAAGCAAATAGAAAGATTAGTGCAAATTATGAATGCTCCAGGTTATGAAGATAAGGTTCCGCTACATATTCCAGAAGGGAACATAAAGTTGCTAGAGTCCAATCTAAAGAAGGTAGATACCCTTTTGAGTGAAACTACTCAAGAAGTTGCTGGCATATTAATCAGTAGCTTCTGATTAAGTAGTGAACTTGATTGACCATTTAGTTCGTTTCATGATTCTTGAATGAAGCATGAGAAAGTTGCATTAGCAGTATCGATTCACTTTACAATAATTTGTATATGAGGTTTAATTAATGGCTGCAACACACGATCTCTTAGCTAAATTAATGCAAGTTTGTATATACAGTTTCATGAACTTGATTTTTTTTTTCTTGTCCTTTCCTCACCATTTCTTGAAGAAGAAAAACAAGAAATATAGGGTACAAAAAAGACGAGAAGAATAAGAAGTGAGACACAAAAATGGTTGATTTCTTCATTTAATATTGTTAAACAATGGAGTCTGTATGTTACTTCCTTTGTACAGAGGTAATTATATATACTAATTTTGGACTTCAATCAAGTCACAAATCACTCTAAAAAATAAAGTTAAAATCATAGAATTGATGTCTCATATCAATCAATTCTATTTACAATTAGGTCCTATAATTACTAACACAATCAAAATCAAATTAATTACTCAGAGAATTGATGTCTCCTATCAATCAATTCTATTTACATTTAATTCCTATAATAGCTAACACAATCAAAATCAAATTAATTACTGATTGTATATAGCTCAACACTCCCCCTCAAGTTGGAACATAAATATCTATCATGCCTAACTTGCCAATAGCAGCTTGAAACACCTTCCTTGACACAGCTTTAGTCAATATATCAGCAAGTTGATCTTCAGATTTTACAAAAGGAAAGTGTATAATTTTTTGATCTAATTTCTCCTTGATGAAATGTCTGTCTACTTCCACATGTTTAGTCTGATCATGCTGAACTGGGTTGTGTGCAATTTCAATGGCAGCTTTGTTATCACAGTGCAGGTTCATAGGATGGTCATAACAAACTCCTAAATCTTTTAGGACACTTTTGATCCACAATAATTCACACACACCATGAGCCATACCTTGAAAATGCTTCTGCCCTTGATGGACTTCCACCTGCTATCACTACCCCTGATCATGCCCCTGCTGATATGGTGCATACTCCATCTACTGAACTTTCAACTTTAACACCCATAATAGAAGAATCATCTATGGATGTCACTAATACCTCACCCGAGAAAAATACTGAGGTACCTTATTTCTCAACTCCAACTCCAGTTGATTTACCTGAAACACATATTCCTATTGAAAATATCTTAGATCCTCCGGATATTAATATTAGGTGTTCCTTGAGACCTAACAAAGGTGTGCCAAAAAATCAATATGAACCAGACCCAAAAGAAAATGTTAAATATCCAATTAGTAGCTATGTATCCACTCATAGGCTATCTGAATCGTATGCTCTGACGGTTAATCAATTGTCTAGTATATCTGTTCCTAACAATCTGCAGGAGGCCTTACATTATCCAAGGTGGAAGAAAACAATGAATGAGAAAATAGAAGCATTACAAAAGAACTCAACATGGGAGCTGGTTCCCTTGTCAAATGGAAAGAAAACCATAGGGTGCAAATGGGTGTTCATAGTTAAACTAAAAGCAGATGGAAGCATTGATAGGTACAAAGCTAGACTGGAAAGTATACACACAGAAGTACGAAGTAGATTATCAAGACACTTTTGCCTCGGTTGCTAAACTCAATACTATTCGAATCTTGCTGTCTATTGCTGCAAACAGAGATTGGCCCCTAAAACAATTTGATGTTAAAAATGCCTTTCTAAATGGAGATCTTGAAGAGAAGGTCTATATGGAGATACCACCAAGTGTCAAAAGGAGCTCCATGGGAAAGAATGAAGTTTGCAAATTGAAGAAAGCTTTATATGGGCTCAAGCAATTACCTCGAGCCTGGTTTGGAAGATTTTCTCAAGCCATGAAGAACTTTGAGTATAACTAAAGTAATGCAGATCATACTCTCTTCATAAAGAACAAAGATGGAAAGGTAACAACATTGATTGTGTATGTTGATGACATGGTTTTGACTGGTGATGATCCATGCGAAATGAAGTTATTATAGAAGTATCTAGCAACTGAATTTGATATGAAAGATTTGGGACAACTCAAATACTTCTTAGGCATCGAGATTGCTCGATCTAAACAGGGAATCTTTTTCTCTCAAAGAAAATATGTACTGGATCTTCTTGCTGATACAAGATTGCTTGCATGCAAACCAGTGGAAACACCTATAGAGATGAACCATACACTTCGTATCTTCCCTAATCAAGTCCCAACCGATATTGGCAGGTATCAGAGATTAGTTGGTAGACTAATTTATTTATCCCACACTAAGCCAGATATAGCTTATGCCGGGTTTGTATATTATTTCCTTTGTACAGAGGTAATTATGTATACTAATTTTAGGCTTCAATGAGCCACAAATCACTCTAAAAAATAAAGTTAAAATCAGAGAATTGATGTCTCCTATCAATCAATTCTATTTACAATTAATTCCTATAATTACTAACACAATCAAAATCAAATTAATTACTCAGAGAATTGATGTCTTCTATCAATCAATTCTATTTACAATTAATTTTTATAATTGTTAACACAATCAAAATCAAATTAATTATTGATTGTATATAGCTCAAGAAATATAAGCAAAGCGGTATAACTATAAATTATATTTTTTTGGATAAAAAGTTGAAATTGCAACCAAGCGTTTGATTGGTCATGAAATTTGTCTTGTTTAGACAGAAATGTGAAAGTTAAAACCATGAGAAGTTTATGTATGAACGGTTTATAAAAAAAAAAAAAAAAAAAAAAAAACCCCGATGTGTCGGTTATTTACCTTGTAACTTGGTAGTTCCTAAAAAGTAACCTGAAGGTCCAAAATCAGACATAGTCCGAACTATTGATTTGCATGAATGAGTTTGACATAGGTCATGTTCCGTGTATAATTCCTGGCCGTAAGTTTACAAGTTAGCATCTTCTCAAGGAGCACAATGAATGAGGAGAGAAAATAGAAAAGAAATAAAAAATAACTTTTTGTCTAAATATTATCTCTTAAATGAAAGGATCAAATAGAGACTGGAGCACAAAAAAAAATTCCCTTCTTAAGAAAAATATTTATGATACTATTGCTATACCATTCACTCAGTGTATAAAAAAAAATGAAAAATGACTATCATATTTGTATAGAAAGAAGAATTTTTTTTTTATCTAAATATTACTTATTAAATAACCGATATACCTAGTACAGATTTACTGAAAATAATCTCCTTCTCAAGATATTTTGATCTTTTGTCAAAATATTAGAACTTTGGCTTTAGCACTTTTCAGGAGAGAAAAGGGTCATCAAAACACGGTTTCCTGGGCAAGTTGCCCACTTGGCTCCACTTGAGAAGGTTACCAATTATTCCCTTCCTTATTCACATCCCAAAATTATTTTTTTCTTTTATACATAAAAGGTAAGGGATGCACTTGACACCTATTGCTTTCACAAAAAAGTTATAAAGGAAAATGTCTTTTATTCCTTTTTCTATATTTCCACCCATAAATATAAATATTGAAAAAAATATTTGTTATTTTAAATGACACAACTTGTATCATTTCACTCTCACAAAGAGGTGACTCACACATTTTTTTCTATCCACTCTCTCTTTCCCTTTAGCTATATCTTTCTCTCACTTAAAATAACATAACTTTACATCCTAATTCACACTTTTCTCATAAATATTATCCGTATTAATAAAAAAAGTACCGATACTCTAAATCTTAAAAAAAAAAAATCCACTAAAATTGATATAGCGGCGAAGGATTTAGGTAATTTGAGGTCATAAGTTTAACCTGTGCCATCATTGTATCAAAAAAATAAAAAAATAAAAAATATTAATTAATAAATTAAATTGAAAAACTCCATAGTGACACGTCAGCATCTTGAACATCCATGTCAGCATATTCATACTCAAACCCCAAGCTATGTGTTGGGGACATGAGTGGCATATTTCTCAACAACTGTGTCATCTCCGACACTGTCTTTTCTTCCTCCTCCGTGGTTGCCACCGCCTCAACAGTATCGTTCTGCGGTGGCCGGAAAGCCTCTGCTGCTTCCGCAGCAACTTTTTGAATATCCTTAGCCTCGGCTGTGGCAGGGACAGGAAGCCGCCATGCAGAGTCAGCAAAGTTAAGACAAGCAGACCGGCCCCTCAGAGCCATAGCGGCCACGTCGTGTGCACGCGCTGCCATCTCCGCCGTGGGAAAAGTCCCTAGCCAAATCCTTTTATTCTTGTTTGGCTCTCTCACTTCACAAACCCACTTATCTGGGTTCTTCCTCCTCACGCCCCTATACACAGGGTGGCGAGTTTCCTTGTATTTCTTCCTCCCCGCACGCTTCTTTGGGTTCCTCGCCGCCAGCAGTACCTCCTCGTCGGAAAATGCCACCCTGCTAGAGGTTCCGGACACCGGCGATGATGTGTCAAATGAAGATGAAAGTTCTGAGGAAATGGGGTGTGGGTTGGAAGAAGGGTTGAAGGTAAACATGATGAGAAGTTATATTTTTTTGTAGTTGTGGAAGTGAAGTAGTGAAGTAGTTATATATATAGGTTTTGTTACGGTTTACGTGTTGGTGCTTTTGGTGTTAAGAAAATATCTAATAAAGTATATGGTGGGGTTCGAAGAGAGAGGCACCACAAAGAGAAGAGTGAGTGAGTGTGTGTGTGTGTCAGTGAGAGTGAGAGTAAGAAACAGAGTGAGAGAGAACTATAAAGAGACAGCTGGTTGGTTAGATGGCTAGTGTCTGGGTTCTGACTGATTCTCAAAGGGGAAAGTGTTTGGAATAGAGTGCGAAGAGGAATTGAATATGTCATGACGTGTATTTGTTAGAGTCAAAGGATTTAAGGGTTTTGGGATAGGGTTTTTTTTTTTTTTTTTTTAATCAATTCAATTTAATATGATGTTAGATTGGGGTGATTCTTTTAAGATCATTTTTTTCCTGATATATATATATAGAGCTAGAAAGGAGTTAGGAGGGACTGTTGCTCCTTCAATTTTATCAAATATTTGTTTTAAATTATATTCAGATTTTAAAAAAAATAATGTAACATAAATTCATCTATTTCATCCTTATGTTAAAAAAATAAAACTTGAAGAGCTCTTCAGATCTAATTATGAATCAACTAAGTTTATGCTATCCGCCAAAGTTAGTATGAATTTTGAATTTCTTGTTTTCTCTCAAAAATTTTGGATTATAAATATTGGTTAGAGTTTTTTTCGTTTTGAGATTTAGTACAGCAAGTGTGACGTAAAGTAGGGAATTGTGTCGGTACCAAAAAAAGCCAACACACTCTTTCCATTTGTAAGCCGGATTTGAGAAGGTAAAGTAATGCTTCTTGGATAATAGAGTTTGGATAAAGACAACAGGTGTTGGTGTTTCACAACCACATGCTAGAATAAGCGCGTTTTTTTCCCTTTATTGGTATATTCCCAGGAGTCCATGTATAATGCCAATTAAGGATACTATCGAAAAGCATTAACCTAATAAAATTTTGAGTTGGTTTTTCTTTTTTAGATAAAGGGTATATATTCTTCGTGGCAGGCAATTCTGTTCGGGACGAGTTTAGAATTAAGGCTTTGAATCACTCTCAAAGATGGTATTAGAGATAACTGAATATATATATACTCTCATTCCCACTTGTTTAACTTCCATACATCAACCGAGCTACCATTATTTAATATTGATATTTTGAGCTGGTTTCAATATTAACAGTTCAGGTCTGAATATTACAAGCTCTCAACGAGACTAGTATTTATCATACTTTTTCAAAGAAGATTACTTTTGCTCATTGCAAGTTTGAGCTCCTCTATTTTTCTAAGGGGATGTTTGGTATGAAGAAATTTTTCATTACCGGTAACAAAAAATTATCCGAAATATGATGGAAATAATTTTTGCTTGGGTAAGTTATAAAAAGGTGTTTGGTAGGCACCAATTTTGCCAGGAAAGTTGGGTTTTTTTTAGTAATACCACGTTTGGTTGATGATGAAATATTGATGGGAATGCATCGTGAAATTATGTTTTTACCCATTATGTTAAAATTATCAATGACTGAAACGTACCTTAATTCATTTCAGTTAAGTTTCAAATTTGCTTTTTCAGAAGTTGTACTCGAAAGTTGCTTTTTCACGGCATTTTCGTCTTAAAAATTGCAAAACAGGTATCTCAATTGGTGGATAAAATTAATACCACGGTTCACATTGCATTTATTTGTGCCATCGTCTAGTACAAAAATATTTTCTTAGTCAATTTTTTGTACTGGTTATTTTGGTCTTCACCACTTACCAAACATGGTAAACATTCTTACTTACATCACTTTCCCATAATTTCCAGCAGAAGCTACATACCAAACAGCCCCTAAGAGAAACAGAGAGCATATTGTAAGAACCCGCACCGTTAATTAAGGAAATTAATTAATTAATTATGTGAAATTAGGAAATAATTCCATAATTGACCATAATAATTATTATGAGGCTTTAATAATTATAGTAAGTCAGTAATAATGCTGAAAGTCGCTTTTCGGAAGAAAAGTGCAGATACCGGTTCTGTTAGTCGGTATAAGTGCATGATAATTACTAGAATAATATGTAGAACTTGTAAAATGAGTTTCAAGTCCAAATAATGAAAACTGGTGCCAGAAACTGGTACTGGCTATGAAAAGCGCATACCGGAAAGGTGCTCCGAAAATTATAAGAAAAATATGATAATTCTTGTAAAATTGAGTAGGTTAAGAATCCAAAGTTTGAGATTAAAATGCTAAGCGTAACAATTAAGGTTAATACTGTGTGTTAGTGACTTAAACCGCCTATATATAGTGCTTGACACTAAAACCTAGGCTGATACTCAGCCATTTGGATGTGAGTGGCTGCTGCTCTCTGCCCTCTCCACCATTTCTTGACCTTGTAGTTTTTCTTCAAATTTCCTTCACCAATCATCCTTGTGTGATTGAGATAGAGCCTTGGGAGTGGGTGGGAGACCTTCTTGCTGAGTTGGAGTTGCTGTGTGAGGGGTTGTGGTTGCTGCCTTTGTGTTTGTGGAGGGGGTACACCTTTGGCTTGGCATTTGTGGTGCCAAGGAGTCACCTTTTGGTGCAAGAACCAACCTTTGGTGGGGTATCTTCATTTTGGGACCAAGTCAGAACCTTGGGAGTTGGTTGTGAGCTCCAAGAGCCTCTCATTTCTGAGTTTGTAGCTTTGGTAAGTGGTACCAACTTTGATCTTGTGTTTTGATGAGTAAAAGAGGTGTCTTGGTATGTTTAAAGAGTTAAACAAGTAACCAACTGGTATGTAAGCCTAAGAGGGTATAAAAATGCATGCTTTAACGTGTTTAAGTGTTAAAAATGGAACCTTGGAAGGATATCTTCGCGAAATGCAGAAACTGCATTCTGTCGCGAAATATCCGGATATTTGCCTGTGGAATATCCGGATATTGATATCCGGATATGGGGATCTGGATATCCAGATATTGATATCCGGATATTGCCAGAGTGATATCCGGATATTGCCTATGTGATATCCGGATATTGCATATCCGGATATGCCCCCGAGGAATATCCGGATATTCTGGGTTTGCGAGGAACAGTAGCGTACTGTTCATCCAGAACTGATCTACGGGTTTGTGGACCCTAGTTTGAGGAAGTTGAACTTCTGTAATTACTTAATGTAAGTCAGAATCATGGGATTAAGGGCTTATGGCTTGGTGAGAAGCCTTAAGACGTAAAACGTAATGAAAAGGCGTTGTCTTTATGTGGTATACTTGTAGAGTATGATTGTTGATGTATTATTGGTCCATATCAGATTGTGATTCTGCTGTGTTTGGACCTTGAGCTTGTGGACTCTTGGCTTGGATTGATAGCTTGCAAGGTAAGCTTCTGTGTCCTCGGTTTAGCCATTGTTGGTTCCACCATGCCCCTTGGGGGAATGGTTTATATGCATGATGTGTTTTCATGCTTTGATATTTGAACTGCTTGTGAACTGTTCAGTGCAAGGGCCTTATAATATGCATGTGTTGTTCCATCTTGACGGTGAGCTTGAGTATGCAGCGCCATACAAAACAGTGATCCGGGGTGGATGCAAGTAGCACTTGCACATAGTAGGATTTAGACGTACATAAATTCTGCATTTCTCTGGCCAGTAGATAGTATTTGACACACATGGCATGGTTATCTGTTTGCATTGCACTGATTTTGGAACTGATATGATATGTTGCTTTTGAACTTATATTGCTCATGAACTTATATTGCTCATGTAAGAGAGCTTGGGGTGGAAGATCCTTGAGGACCCCTTGCCTTACTGAGATTTCATGTTTAGAGATTTCACCCCACGTTTGGGGAATGCTTATTTCAGGTTCAGGTAGTATGGGGACTGATGTCTCTGGCGGCAGGAGGCTAGAGCTTAGTTGATGATTTTACTGCTTATTTGCTAGCATGACTGGACTGGATGCTGTTTATGTTTTCTGCACTATGATTATTATGTTGCTGTTGAGTTGAAACTTTGTTGGGCTTTGTTGCCTTATTTGGGTGAGCATGAGAGTTGTCCATGCCACTATGTTGTTAGTACCTTTGAGTTTGAGTTGTATAACTATCAGGATTTGTCCGGTCTACGAGTTGTAGTTCCGTGACTAGAGCCATACATTATGTTATTTTAATTAATGAGGTATTTCAGTTAGCTGTTTTATTGCAATTACATACAGGCAATGTTTTATTAATTGATTAATAAGCAAGTTGGTAATGATAATGACATCATAATTGAAAAGAAAAAGATATTTCACAATTTTAATTAAGCGCAGCTTAATACGATAGTATGATAACATTACCGGATATATACGGGGTGTTACACATATCAAATAAATACATAAAAATGAGAAGAACAATTAACCTTAATCATATAATTAAACAAGAATAATTTAGATTAATTTTATTTAAAATTAATATTAATCATCCATATTAGATTAAATAGTTAAGGTTAACTCTTCTTGACTCTTTCTTGGTACACTTCTTTTGTTTGTTTGTGATTATTTTTAAAGAAATCTCTCTAAAAGTATTCAGCACATTCAAATAAGAAGTGAAGTTTAGCTGGTAAAAACTATGGCTAAATCAAGCATTTGGCCTCTATAGTCATCACTCACTTAGAACTTAGTCTCCACTACATTATTTATTTTTTAAGTCAATATTCACAATTCCCCAACATTAAGATTTTAGTCCTTAATGTTAATTGGGATTATGATATCGTGGTACTATGAGTAGGGGAAATACTAACTAAGGGTTGCAATTTACTACATGAGAATTTTGTATTTGAATTAACACACATTCATTTTCTTGTCATATTCGTGTTAGTAAAAAACGTGACAAAACTTGGATAATTTTGTGTGTCAACTCACAAACACGACAATAATATATATTTTTGTGGTTGATTACATTTTGACCAATGGGTTCTTAATGTTGTGTCATGTCATTATTTGGTTATTGTTAATTGGTAAAAACAACTTCAAG